GAAAAAAAAACAGGCTTTCTGATTGTATAGGAGTTACTGCAGTAAGGTAAACTTGTAACAAAGAACAAAGGATCAATCAAACAAAAATGTCCTGACTTAGTGCTAAAATAATTGTATAAATAAATAGTTGAAGATATGATGCAGCAACTGGAATAATTAAAAACAAACAAATTAACAATGAAAAACACCATTAAGACCAGAGGTGTCGGAAATTCCAACAGGGAAACACCTTTCAAAGCCAGATTTAGCTTTATTGGCTAGGATTTTTGCATAATTAAGGAATTTGACTTTGGTTACAGCACTCACATTGCAATTAAGCTATACATATAGATAAGGGAGCAGTATGCATTTGCAGTATTTCAGCATTCTTTGTTACTATAAAATGTCTTTAAATCATTTAAGGGTTCAAAAATTCTAAGAGGAAAACTATGGAGAAAGAGCCAGGAACCTGATGGCAGATCTCTGTTTGACACATGTGAGCTCAGAAGTCAACAGAAGCCTGTCATTAGTTCTCCCTCAGTGAGCTTTAATGAGAAAAACTATGCTCAACCTACTCTGTTTAAACAAAATCTCTATACACGAAACATGCCTGTGAAGTAAACACACATTTAGGCAAGTGGCATGTATTTCTGCAACCCACCTCTGTTTTTGATTTACAGGAACAATCAGCAGCCATATAGGGGCTGTCTGGGTATTAAAAGCTTTCAATCTTAGTAGAAGTTTCAGGACTTAGAATGGATGGTTTACTTCTTAGGAGCATTAACATATTCCTTTGTGTATTTTCTAAGAGGTTAAACCACATTTAACTATTTCCAGGAGTGGTTTTGCTGGGTGGTGACCTTTAATGTATTTCCAGCTTTTGATGTTATGTTTTTTTATGTTCATATAGCACTTAATGACCGGGTCAACAGCACTTCCATCTCCATTATCATGACTATGGTTATGCTAATAGATTGTACATTAATGAATGTTTACACCAAGATAGTGTCATGAAACTTTAATGAATGTTTACAAGATTCAAACATATGTAAGCTGCAAGATTGAACGATCAAGAAGGTCTTAATGGACAATGATGTCAGAACAAAGGTAAAGAAATCATTTAGTGTTGCTGGAGAAAAATGAACCTCAGCCTAGATGTGGACTTGCATGCTTTTCTGCTGCCCTCTTGTGGATTTCTTTAAAACATGCATAGAGGTAAATGACCTTTCATAAGTGTTTCACTCAGATAAGACTGGACTCTACTTCAAAGAGTCAGATCCGTGCTTCTAATTTGAAAGAACACAGATTTATTATATGATTTTATGACATTAATTTCAATAGGATATTGGCTTTCAGATCAAATGCCCTATTAATTCAGGCTTGGTTCTATTTTTAACTGGCAACTATGCTACAATGACGCAGCTATTAATGTTTTAAGAAATAAGTAAGGAACATCATTACTGGAAAAAAGTGAAATATTTACTAATAAATTAAAAACTTATTTCAGTGCATGGTTTCAAGATTTGAGGAAACCATCCATTTATGGTTCTATGCTGTAAAGCAGGCGTTCTCAAACCTCATCCTAAGGAACCACTACCCTGCATGCTTTAGATCTGTGTTGCAGCACACTTGACTCCTCAGCAACCAAGAAGTGCTGCAGAAGCCTGTTAATCATTCCCTTATGTAATTCAGGCGTGTGGAAGCAAGGAGTCTTCTAAAACATGCAGGACAGTGGTACTTGAGCAGAAGGATTATGAACCACTGCTGTAAACAAACTATTAAGCACACATGTATATCAACTATGGTGCATTAGCTTATCTTGTAATACTGTAAAGGATTGTTGTAAACGAAGGAGATAGTGGTAATCCCCGGAAGTCAAATGTGCTCTAGTGAATTGCATTTTATAAGCTGAAAACATTTTACCTCCTATTCCCATTTATTTTGATTCGTAAACCACTTTGTGTTAACTGTTGTAAAAAAAATAGTGTATATGGCTCTGATGTCAAACCAAGGTAACTTTTAGCATCTTCCTGCTGATAGATGTTAATAGGAATCCTATTTTTACACTCCTCTGAATAATAAAAGGAGAAACCATATGGACACTAAAACACTCAAATGCTTATTACTGCAGAGGAGCTTTTTGCATGTTTCCAATGGTATTTAAAAAAGGTATCTTTATAGATGCGTATCATGTCTTTGAGGTTGGAAGGTTATTTTGCCATCACCCAACTCTTTAACTCCCTCAACAGATTCTCCATACGGAACTGTCTTTTTATTACACTTCTACAGTGAAACGAACACTAAAAAAGATTCGAGCAGTTATGTTTCTCTGGCAACAAGAGCCCCCCTCTGAAAAAAAAAATCCGACAAGTACAATTATAAGTAATGTGGTTGATGACAGCAAAAAGTGTAGAAAAATCAGAGCGAGTGGTACAGTACATCGGCGAGTGGTACAAGCACTTTAGTATGTACAGGTCATGGGTCTGTAACCTGTGGCTTTGGAGCCACAAGTGGCTCTTAAGACACTTGGTAAAGACTGTTTATCGCTGTGGCTAAAAATAATGAGCATGTTAATCTTTGTAAAAACCGATAAATTAACAGATGCTCGTTAGTGTGCTGAATGCTACTTTCTGCACTGGCTAATTGCATTAAATTTCCAAAACAAATTTACTTTAACCATAAGAGAATGTTTTTTTATTTATCTTTTTTTAAGCAGGCAAAATATCTTCTTGTTTCCGTTTCAATAAGGCATTAAAAATGCATTTATTGTCATGTTGGGATTCAGGTTTCTAACCCACATGCAGAACACCCAGGAGTCAGAGTAAAGTTTAACAATTTATTAAAGGTTTGCACAAGGTTGTTTCACAGATTCTTGAATCAATGATAAACACAAGGTTAGATGACACATGCTGGAATCAGGTCCGGGACTGGTCACACAAGGGCTCTCTGCAGAGAGGGACAGTTAGGTTAGCCAGGCAGCTAATGATCTGGTAGCTGAGAGAATGTGCAGATCTGTACCTGTTCAGAGATTCTGGCTGAGCGGCAGAGGAAGGGAACC